CACATTACTGTGATATAGACAAATTTAGAACTCAAAAGATTTAAGTTCATTCATGTCTTTCATTCATTCAATAGTATAATTGAATGGCCAATGGCCCGTCAGATTGTTGCTGGGGTTCTAACCGGTAGGGGACTTATGGATTGCTTGCAATACTATGATAATTGCTTGTTTCAGTTTTGAATGTTGGTATTGGCATAAATGTATGTCAGAGTTCAAAAGCACACAAAGAAATTTATATATATATACATAAAAGAATTTTTTTTAAATTGAACATAAGATGGTTAGCATAATATAAAGAAGTACAGATGTAATAACATATTAAGAAAATGGCTTTTGACTGACAATTTAGAAAGAATACAACGCTTTTTAATTCCTTATAGATGAGGGCTGTTTGTTCGAAGCAAACATATCGGTATGCAAATAATTGTGCATCACATCCTATTGTTCTAGGTCAAATAGAGCACCTACTTTGATTTGACCAATATTTATCGGAACAAAGTTTCACCCATATCTCATCGCATTGTGCGGCGATTTGTCTTTGATGTTCCTCAGGTCTCACCCCTGTACGGAATTAGACCCAACCCGTTGTAGTCTAGAAAGTAGTTCTTTTAATTTTTGAAGTGGTCCAGTTTAAGTTCTCTCTAGTTTGATTGGTCATAATTAAAGTGCATTTATTGCATGTGTGTATTTTTTGTGTGTTATAGGATGACTTTAAAAGTGGTTTTTTGTGTATTCTCCAGGAACTCATTTGTTGGCGGAAGTATTAAAAATGTACTACCACCAGCAGTCCGGAGTTTTCAAAGTGCCGAATTTAAACAGTGTTACAACAGAATGAAGATTTCTGAAAAAATTAGATGGCTAACATATTATATTTTGGGCCTCATTTAACTTAGATAGTGTTGATGTTTAAAGTTGAAGACAGTATATAATTCATCAAGAACAGAGGAATCGAGAATTAAGCCTCAAATGTGACTGATTTATTATAGAACAAAGAATACGAAAAATTCACTAGGCCGACACCTTTTGCTGTTAAACACCAGAACAATACTTAATTGGTAATAACGCACAGTGCGATATCTCAGATAAAGCATATTTTCTTTAGAATTTTCAAATAAAGCACAGTCATCTATGTTCACTTGGTTCATGTATAAGCATGACCGTAGACAAATACGCAAGGGTCACTGAACGATACTTAAATCGATGCTCGAAAAAGAGCGAATATATCCTGATTTGGGAAAGCTAATGGGGTACATGTACTTGGGATATGGCTTACAGTTAAAAAAAACGTGTCTCGGGCTTGAACGTAGTTGCTTATAAACCTTTTAACCCTCTATTGAAATAGTTGAAATAGATTTAAAATCCATATTTTGGCATGCCTTAAAAACAAATGCCGATCAAATGGCGGTTAGCGTAATACTGGCGCGCCACAATTATTTACTAAAATGTTTCTGTATGTGGTCATCCAACCGATCAGGAACACTAACTTTACTTTTGATTGGCTCTCACATTATGGGGTTTACAATAAGAAAAAAATCGGTCATTTACAAGTACCATGTGTACCATTAAAAGTAACCGAGGTCTCGAGTGGAGAATAAAATGTATTAAGGGAAGCAAAATATATATTGAAACTTTATGACTAACCAAATTTTTTTATTACTAAACCTCGATCATTTTTTGTAGAGAAAACCCCTCGATGTCGCCCCAGGCAATGATATATCCACATAACAGTCTCGTCGCTATATTATAACTATAACTTATTCCGGAGCAAGACCTGTGTTTTTTTTTTTGAAGACTTTAGTTCGTTCCACTGTTTTATTTAACCGGCAACTAATTTAAAACTTTAAAATGTCCATTATTAATAATATACCTATTTCAGTCAAATATCTGTGGCGTTATTTCATTTTCATTTTGAATATTTCCAAGGACTTTTTTCTGTTTTAGAACATAATTTACAACAAATGGCACCAGCAATTACTTAATTATTTCACAAACTTTTACAATCGTAATTCACATTCAACGTCACTGTTGTTTTTGTTTAAAATGGCCATCGGTTTGTGTTAATCGTATATGCGTAAGGAATGGTACACTAATAAAACCGGTTTAAACTATTCACGAACAAATACAAATGGATTATTCCTTTTGACATATTTTATCGACGATGAAATATTTTGTGTAGTGACATTCACAAACATCTAGGTCCCAATATTTCCCCCATTTTTTGTCCCTTTTCCACAAAAGTACGACCCATTAGGTGCCTAATCATAGCATATAATAAGGGTCTGCGTTCAGCGGACAATACATTTTCTTGTCGATTAAATACTGGTATTTAATAACTGCTAAATCTTTTGAAAGTTGCCTTGAATGAAGTGACAATAAGCGTATTCACAAACATACTGTAAATTATGTCGCGTGTTTTGCATTTCAAATTCTTTTTCAGTATATTGCCTGCCTTTTGAGACCTATTTATAAGTGTATTTTCTTTCATTCACCTTAAATACATCATATTATCACATAAACCGCGGCGCATGGGTGTAATAAAGCCATTTAATAAAAACGATATTACACTAGACGATATTACACTAGTGTTGTAACACTTTGACGTGACGTCATTTGCGCTATAAACATAGCGTTACAGCGCGCTAATGTTAGTATTAAACTATAGGCGCGTCAAATAAAATTGACTCTTGTTAACAGTTTACTGTTCTTATTTTATATATGTGATAAATAGAATATTATAGTCATGTAGATTCAATACTAAATTTATTGAACTCGTTGAATAAAACAATATTATGATCGCCAGAGGCTCGCATAATATGATCTTATTCAACTCGTTCAATAAATTATAAGTATTAAACCTACATTCATTCAATATTCTCTATATAATTTTATTACCCTTCCCTTGCCGAGTAGTCAATTTTGAAAATAAATCATTGCTGTTTCAAATGAAATGTCGAAATAAGATTTACGTTACCAGTACACCGCAAAATGACGACGTATTTGCGTGATATACCTAACGAATGTAAACAAGAGAAAAGGAAAGTCTGTTAAAGACACTTTTTTCTAATTAACATCAAGCTTTGATGAGGTTATATTTGTTTTAAATACTAATAAGAATATTTATCACTATTTTGGTTCATATTTTTTGACACTTAAAAAGTGCTTGTATATCGGAATTTACACTGCGTAACATCGAACCGAACGCACATCGTCACAGCACATGTTGTTTTACAACGTTGGGTACCCAAAGGGGAAATTTAATGTATTAATTACCTGTCTGGCTCGGTTATATCAATTTCTTTCGGCGGATCAATATCCAATCAAAAAGGGGAACAAATCTGGAAGTGTTATAAACTAAAAGTGTAATAAACATGTTTATTACCCTTCCAGATTTTTTCCACCTTTTTGATTGGATATTGATCCGTCGAAAGAAATTGATATTACCGAGCCAGACGGGTAATATACACACTAAATATACCCGTTTGGTACCCCACGTTGTAAACAACATGCGTTGTGGCGATGCGCGTACGGTTCGATTTTACGCGGTGTAAATTCCGATATACAAGCACTTTTTAAATGTCAAATGAAAAATATTTACCAAAAGAAAGTAATGATGAATATTCTCATCAGTATTGAAAACAAAAATGGCCTCGCCAATGCTTGATATTAATTACAAAAAAGTGTCTTCGACAGACTACCCCTTTTCTCTTGTTTACATTCGTTAGGTACGAAAGCAAATACGTCATGTATTTATGTGACGTCATGTTGTGGTGAAGGGGTACCCTAAAGGGAATCTTATTTCGACGTTACAATTGAAACAGCAATGATTTATTTTAAAATCTTACTCGGCATGGGAAGGGTAATAAAATTGTTATTTTGGTTTTGGAGTGATATATGTGGATATATTACCTGGCAAGATTTTATATCACCCCAAAACCAAAATAACAGATAATATCTTGACATGAAACATGGGTATTTATGCTATAACTGTGTTTTGCTCGGTCATGAAGTTTTCATAGCGTATGCACATTACAAATCGTATGAATTATCATTTTTGTGTCGCCTCTACGGAGTAGTGGCGACATATAGGGATCACTTCTCCGTCGTCTGTCTGTCCGTCTGTCTGTCTGTCCTTCCGTCCGTCACAAAACTTGTCCGGACTACTCCTCATAAACTACTGGTGCAATTTCATCCAAACTTTACAGGAATGATTAGTACCAAGTCTAGTTGTGCATATTGTCAACATTTTCCGGTTCAATGATTTTTGACAGAGTTATGGCCCTTTAATAATTTTTATTTTTAAACTTTGTCTGGACTACTTCTCTTATACCACAAATGCAATTTCATTGAAACTTTACAGGATTGATCAGTAACTCAAGTCCTTGCGCATTTTGCACGGGTTTTCCGGTTGAATGTGTTTTTGCCGAGTTATGGCCCTTTGATAAAAAGGTGTTTTTTTCTGTGTGTTGCCAGATACACAAAAGCTTGTCCGGACTACTCCTCATAAACTACTGGTGCAATTTCATCCAAACTTCACAGGAATGATCAGTTCCAAGTCTAGTTGCGCATATTGTCAGCATTTTCCGGTTCAATGATTTTTGTCTGAGTTATGGCCCTTTAATAATTTTTATTTTTAAAGTTTGTCCGGACTACTTCTCTTATACCACTAATGCAATTTCAATGAAACTTTACAGGATTGATTTGTAGCTCAAGTCCTTGCACATATTGCACGGGTTTTCCGGTTGAATGATTTTTGGCCGAGTTATGGCCCTTTGATAAAAAGGTGTTTTTTCTGTATGTTGCCAGACACACAAAAGCTTGTCCGGACTACTCCTCATAAACTACTGGTGCAATTTTATCCAAACTGTACAGGAATGATCAGTATCAAGTCTAGTTGTGCACTGTCCGTCTGTCTGTCCGTCTGTCACAAAACTTGTCCAAACATGAAATTGGCCATCATGAGGCGACACATGTGATCACTGATCGCTCTTGTTTCTTTCCAGAGTTTGCATGCAAATTACAGTTGTTCTGGTATTCACAGTCAGTGTAATTCATACTATTGCATTTCTGCCACTATCAAAGCAGGTAGCGAATAACGATGATACGAAAGGGAAAACTACACATATTAGATTTTTAAGAGTTCACAAATGTGGTACTGCAACAATGTCAAATGTAATTTTCCGGTTTGGACTATATAACAATTTAACATTTGCAATGCCAAAAAAGGGTGGATATATCACAAACACAGATTCTCTACTTCCTGTGCGTCCGACTGGTCATTATGATATTTTGATCGGGCATTCCATATATAGCCGTAAGTTATATCAGTATTCATTTGGAACAGATTCGATAAATATTGCAATTGTTCGCGATCCTGTTCAAAGAATGATAAGTGCTGCGTATTTTTACAGAGATGTTTGGCCACAAGCATATCTCCGACGTGTCCCAAAAAGTAATTTCATTGAAAATCTTGTCCGATTACCTGATGTGTATGACAGAGCTCCATTTAGTTTCACAAGAAATTCCATGGGGAGGGACTTTGGATTTTCTTCATCTATATCTATCAATGATACAAATAAAATAGACCAACACCTAGACATGCTTAAAAAAGACTTCAAACTTGTCCTTGTGAAGGAAAGGTTCAACGAATCGCTTGTCTTGATGAAAAGAACTTTAAACTGGGACATCGAAGATATACTGTATGTAAAGATAAATGCATACAAGCATGAAGTAGTAACGCTCAGTTCAGATCTTATAAAGAAACTACAAAAAACCTGTTTCTTAGATGTTATATTGTATGAAACTTTTTCTAAGATATTTGATGAGAAAGTTAAAAATGAGGGTCCTAAATTTCACCGTGAGGTAGAATGGTTTCAAAACGTGCTTCAATTAGTGACTGAGTTCTGCAATGCAGAGAAAGCTGGTGCAATGGTGAGAATAGACCAATCGGAATGGAACGAGCCATTTCACATCACTCGGGAGAACTGTTCGGACATGAAAACAGGAGCCCTAACTTACCTTCCAATGCTCAGAATTCGTCACAAAAAGATGAATAATTGAAATTATGTAGATTAATGACATTATGGCTTTGTTACAACTTTAAAACTCTGCCCTTTATCAAAAAGAACATTTTATCCGTTTTATTATAACGATTGAAAAATATGATTATATAAACATTGTAAATATATTTCTGATATATATGTATAGTCTGTAACTTGGAAATATGATGATTATTATAAAACGCCTTAGCAATTTTTATTGAAATTTACTTGGTTAATTTTGCAATACACAATCTTTTGCTAGAATTGTGTGCCAATTCTTAATTGGATTCTTTTGTTTGGGTATTTTAACCATTGTCTTATCACCAGTGATGATAACTGTCGGCGCATTTTAGTTTTCTCGTGGTACAAGTCAGCGTCTACAGCTTAGATATATTCAAATGTAGCATTGCAAAGTAAACATCCTTCACTACAGTGTTGTTATATTTTTGTGGTTCTTTAGGATCTTTGACTATCAAACAGAGTCTGCTATTTTAATGTGATTAGCACACGTATGAGGGATCACCCTTTCCAAGTCTTTTACAAAAAGAAATTAAATCCAATTAATTATGCACTTGTGTAAAAATGGCTTTGATCCGGGTTTCACCGAGTTTACATTGTAAATATATATTGGGAACCTTTTCACTGAAGCTACATAAGTAATCCAAAGCATGTACCCAGAGTCAAATGTGGCCCGTCCAATGGAGTTCGTTTACTTAGTTTCTATTGACTTCTTTTTCAGATAAACACATTTAAATTTTATGGAAAATAACAAATGCACTATGCCGAAAGCTTAGATACTTGACATCACTGTCTTGAAAACCTCTAAATATTTCATGTATAAGAAAAATAAGGCATCCAATGTGATCTAATTACTTACCTTTTAACTGAAGAATGGTGAGATTTTTTTGTTTAAAAAGCAATTAATCTATGGTAAGTGGTCTACAAAACCATAGCCCTCTTCATTAAATGAATTTTATAATTATTAGAATATATCTAGGGTCCAACAAAAGCGCTGAATGCGTAGTTTTATATGCATATTTTTTGGGAATCAATTTCGGCCATTTCCTTAACCTTGGGCAGGTCCATGGTAAGCCCTTTGGGACTGAATTGTCTTAATGTTCGTCTTCTGCCTTGCTTCGTCGGGCCCTTGTAGGTGATTTTCTAGTTGCTCTGTCTTCCTTTAGGACATTGAGTACTTTTGTTATGGTCATTGGGTTTACTTTTATATGTTTCTACATGATCATTTTAGTGTTTTACTTATTTAACCTTTTGTAACCATGACAACTGTTAGAATTTCACTTGGCGGGAATTCATTTTATTTACACTGTCTCGTTTATAGGAACATGGTGGGGCTAAGAGCGAGGTTTGGTGCACCATTAACCGGTTTAAACTCCCTAGCAGTCATTATTATGCTGCTGACCGTTCCAAGGCGGCGCCCCACTGTGTTCCTCAGATGTATGTCTATGTTGTTTCATACTGTTTTGGTGACACTTTTGCTTGTGTCCCTTGTTTTCTCGTCTACGGTAAGTATCTTCCCCATGGCCTCTAGTTTTTATTTCTTTGATTAACCCCCCCCTCCCCCGGTCTCCTGTCCCCTTCCCCTTTGTGGGCCTATTATTATTTTCTTTGAATTCCTAATCAGTTACAAATTATTTATCATTTAATGATTAACCTGTCCGTGCTCTGTCCTGTTTTTTGTTTGGGGTCCGCCTGGGCTCCTTGTCATTGGTTCTTGTTGCTGGGTCATATGGGGGTTGCGTTCATTGAACGCCGCCTTTCCTTGTTGATCTTGTTTATCATATTTCATATGATAGACCCATTATTCAAAACTTGTTTATTCATGTATGTGCTCCAACATATATGCACAACTTGCAATAGTCAATACTTGTCTAAAACATTTACATCTCGTTCATGCAATAGCACTAGATTTCTTGTACCGTCATCTTGTTCAAGTATAGACATAAAAAGACAGTCCCCTTTATTTACATGTAATACAAGGTTATCTAGGAATGCGAATTCAAGACTAGTAAGTAGACTTAAGCTTTTTAGTCCATTATAGCGGTATTACAAAAACACATGATTGCCAGTTATTCTTACAAAGTTGTCAGTGTTCCTAAATGACAAGATTAAGAATTCACCATTCAGATTTTTCACTTAATTTAAGATTGCTAAATTTCCGGAATCGGAACCAGTCTTTCCTTTTTGTCTAAAATTCATAAACGATTTCGATAATCTTGCCTTTATGTACAAAGAGAAAGTTAGATATTTTATTCCTTGTTTAGTAATTTAGTGTTAAATTCTGAGAAATTCGCATTATAAATTACCTCTTTCGGACATAACATATATGAATGCACAATGGACAGTAAAAATGATGAACAAAGCACTAGTTTTACAAAATACATGTAGCGTTAAAAAAAACTATGAACTATGAACAAGCAATATTTTGTTTACAAAACACATGCAACGCGCGTTAAAAGCGCATATTTCTTTTGTTATATCATGATCAATACCCGTAATACTAGTTGGTATAAACGTTTTGTCGATGTAAGATCCGTATACGGAATTCTGCAACTCAGTAGTCAGATGTTTGTTGTTGTAGAAAATATCGTAATTGTCGAGATTTCCAAATGAATACAGAAGCCAATAGGATATCATAGCGTGCTTCGTTAAAAAAACCTTGTCATTTTTTGTGTTTCTTGTAGCAAAGCAGTTTAAAGTCAAACGCCTGTAGTGCCGGGTAATCTAAAGACATGAGTTGCAAACCAGGTAAGTGTTTTTCTTTGAATATTTTGAGAAGAACAGCCATAGCTAAATTTCCACATACACTGCCACCTACAAATGAAAAATGCAGTACTTACTCAGTCTACAATTCTAGTAAGTTGCCACTATAAACAGACAAACTATACTAATATGGAAATCACCCAATTTATGTCTGGTTTCTTTTTATAGAATCTTTACAAAATCTATATCATACACAATGGCATTTGGATACAATATGAAAAAGCTCGCCCATAACCGTTTATAAGCATCAATTGTTTAATTTATTTGTTATCGGCTACATAAGAATTTCCCATATACGCTACATAAGAATTTCAGACCGGTTTGGGTTATATCGGAAACCTTCTATACATAGAATTACAATGTACAACAAATTCTGCAAGTTTTTCAACTGATGGGGCCAATTTCTTATATACAATTTTATTTGACTAATTCATTTACGGAGTCTCTCTTGGAAGCTTGCTTCAAATATATTTCCCCTAAGTGTTGTTTGTTCAAACCCCGCTTGAGATTATGTTAAAGTCTTCAGCATTATGGAAGTTTAATTCCTAACCAGAGCTGCATCATTACTAAGGGTGTAGTACTTAAGTACCAGTACCAGTACTTGGCAAATTATGCAGTACCATTACCAGTACCAGTACTAGATTTTAGCTCGGTACTGCAGTACCAGTACTTTTTTTGGTGAAGTAATTAAGTATCAGTACCATTACTTTTATATATTCATCAAAGTTTGAATAATTACAGTGTCAAACAAATAATTGCAAATATTATTCAGCAAAGAAATAAAATCATAATTTACTTTAAAGCTGTGTAACACCGCACTTTGGGGTCAAACGCACTTTGGGGTCCGACCCCAAAGTGCGTTAAACTTCGCACCGCACTTTGGGGTCAAACGCACCTTGGGGTCAAAATCGAAAAATTGACCCCAAAGTGCGTTAATATGCTACATATCAACGCACTTTGGGTTCCAGAGGTCTAAAGGTGTAATCTGAGTTCTGCTTAAATACTAAATACTGACTTATTTTCAATCTGCGACATTGAAATATTTGAGGTGGAGTTCAAAAATGGCGTTCAATACTTTGATGATGCTTAAGTGATAAAAGTTTCATTAATTTTACCACTTGAAATATCCAAAAAATGTGTTCATATAACAAAATAACGGTGGCATAAAAGTGACATTTGCATTTTTTTATTTAAGTTTTGCATACATATTTTTATTCAAGTTTTGCATATATATTTTTTTTTTGAGTTTTGTATACATAATTATTTTATTGTAGTTTTTCGTACATATTTTATTTTTGTTTTTCGTACATATTTTAGCCAATTAAAACAGCCTTCACATCTCATAATTGAGTATAAAACTAGCACAGTGGTTTGGTCACATTTCGGCCCAGTCTTTTGGCCGCGCAAGTCTGGTCGACCTTTTTCGGCCCATTTTTTAAGTCATATAAATAAGTAGTAGTCCGTACAGGCAGTACTCAAAATATCAACTTTTTAAGTAGTCGCACATTAAGAGCGGAGCTTCAGAATAATGTAAAATTCTCACTGGTGGTATAGAGGGCAGTGTGGGGTATCGATCCCCCCGAGGGTTAAAAATAACGTTTTAAAGGCACATTATGTTTTTATTTGTTTTTCTTAAAAGCTTTTTTATTTTGATGTTCTTTTATATTATCAAAAAATACACATTGGCCAATTACCTGAACCATCTTTTTCATTTCTTGCTTTTTGACAATGATGAGTACAGTTATAGTGAATAAGTATTTTATATGGCAGTCAAATACTACAGTGTTTTGACATCTTTTATTACAAATAATTTCACATTTATCGCTACTTTATTCGGGTAACAAACATCTTACATTTCTCTGATACCATTATTTTAACATTATAAAATTCATGTTTGCTCTTTCTAAAGATTTCCCATTAAAAAAGCCTCTGGCGAACGATTGTTACGGAGCTTACAAAAACCCTTAAGTTTGTTGATAAGCTTAATAATATATTTGTAAAAATCACTATTTATAGTCTGATCTAAAAACTTGATGTTTCACCAGAACCTTGCAATAGAGTATATTTATAGTTCTTTGGAAAAATAATATTAACTGCATTTTATTTCATTCCCAACATATTTAAAGTGGGGCTCAACATGACACCAAAAGTTATCAAGTAAATGACTGACAGAACGGGATATTTTTCGCAGCATCTTTTAACTTTAGGAATACACAATTTCTGTACTAGATTTTTTTGAACGGTGGCTTAAAGTGACATTTGCACCTTTTTTTTGTTTTTGATTTTCAAACACTTCGCCATCGGTAAATTACAGTACTGTACCCCATTTGCAAACGCTATTTGCAAATACCAACATTTTCATTTTGGAGGTATCAAAATGATAACAACAATTTTTAGTATATATATACATGTACATTTATATACATGTATATGTATATATATATATATATATATATATATATATATATATATATATATATATATATATATATATATATATATATATATATATATATATATTTCTAAATCAGTGGAATATAAGGACCTATTCTCAGGGGGTGGGGTTGAGTGGTGCATATTCATGGAATAATAACTGATCACCAATCAACAGCCCTTTCCAAATAGACACTTATATGATAATGTATAAAAATAAAAAAAAAACAATAATTATATAAAATACATATTAAAGCCACATCTACACTTTGTCAAGTTTCTTATGTGTCACATTTAGCTAAATAAATGGGTATTTTAACATACATGTATTATCATGCAAATTTTTTACTGAAATGTCTTACTAAGATTACCCAGAATTTATACCTTTGTCTATGCTAAGACTATCATATTTCTGTAAAATGTGTAAATATCAAACGTGAAAATGATGCATTTAGCTAAAAACAATGGAGTTAATGAAGGGTGTACATTCTTTTAAAATAAATGAAAAAGTTGAGAAAAAACATATTTTAAGCTTAATAATTGATACAAATTCTTTATTTGGGGATTTATTTAGTGAAAGTTCTTAACTTACAAATCAAGACCATTTAAATCCCTATTGATTCAGGGCACATGTTTTGTGTCTATTTAATACCTTGATTTTTTTTTTACCATTGTTTACCATATTTAAAACATAATGAACATAAATTTTCTCTGACCCAAAAGTGCGGTCGTTTGCCTGATGTAAAAAAATGCATATGTACCTGTTTAACGCACTTTGGGGTCGAAATTGAACCCCAAAGTGCGTAACGCACTCTGGGGTCGGACCCCAAAGTACGTAACGCACTTTGGGGTTGGACCCCAAAGTGCGTTTGACCCCAAAGTGCGGTGTTACAAAGCTGCATGCCTCCAGATGACCAAAAATGTTTCAAGAAAATTAAACTTGGAAAAAAATTACTAAAACTTTGAGAAAAGTAAACAAATTAAAGATTCAAGTGATAATTTATATCTTATGTGCAATTAATGACTGTATTTTGTAGTATTTATCACTATATTTCTACTGCGTTACTAACGCAGTAGGGGCTATTTATGCATGTTTTGACCTCTTTTTGGTAATTTACGTGGATTTTATGTGCCGATTGTAATGTGTCAAGTACTTTCTTTGTTCATTTAACAATATTTTACCTTATATACATTTTCAAAATTTTCATGAAAATTAGGATGAATCTGGAGGCGTGCTGCTTTAAAGTTAACATAACATATTTACAACTTTATAGTTTAAACATACTTTTTACAAACAATATTTACAACATATATTCATGTCATATCTAATTGTTTAGTAACCAGTCAACTGTATAAATACAATGCAAACATCTTTAATTTAAACACAACAGTCTTTTGTTGCCTTTCACACCTTCACACCTCTGTTCAATTTAAACCAAAGTAATCCTAACCACATGACAATGTCATGTATTAAAGCTGCAAGCCTTCAGAGTCATGCAGATCTTCATGAAATTGAAAATCATATACTATGAAGTGAACAAAGGAAGTAATTAACCCATTGCAAATGGAATTTACATTCTAAGATAACTACCCCAAAAAGGTCAAAATTATTATGCAAAACAGCCCATCTGCGTGAGTAACGCAGTTGAAATATGGTGATAAATATACTGCAAATTCAATAATTAATCGCACATAACATATAAAATATCATTTGAATATTTAATCTTTCACTACCTTAAAATCTTAGTGCATTTTCTCAAGTTTGATTTTCTTGAAACATTTTGACTCATCTGAAGGCATGCAATTTTAAACCTATTACTGTTATTCTGTTGTATTGTAAATGGTGAAAATGATGACTGAATAAACGAAAGAAATAGCTGGTCTTGGACATACTATTTGTTACAAGTATGTTTTATCAAAAGTACCTTTCATGCCAAAATTTTTTCATTCACACCATATCCTTTGGCATGTCTTAAAATTACTATAGGACCTACATTATATTGACTATAAAAATGTACAATTGTATCAGATGTACGAGGTATGATCAAAAAGTTCTCGACTAGATATTCTTCTAGACACTACACTGACATTTACACACGATACGTCGATACGGATATCTTATTGAAGGTTACTGACCGAGTTTTACGCGGTTTTACACAGATTAAGTACTAACATAAAACACACTTTGATCAGTAGGGGTGTGTCATTTAGACCAAATGAAGAAAGTTGAAATCAGAGCCGTCATTTAGTACCTCTGTAAGAAAAGAAATTCACGAAGACTCCATGGATACATTTGGGAAGGAGTCCCCTTCTTATAGCGATGTGAAAAATGGGCTGCTGAATTTAAGAGGGGCAAGTAGAGCATTGGAGTTGATGAGCGGCCTGGGCGGCCAAGAGAGGCCACCAACGATGAAACTGTCGAATCTGTGCACGATCCGGTCATGTGCGACAGAAGGCGAGACCTGCAAAGGGATTGCAAGGGAAGTGGTTATAAGCTTTGGTTCAGTTCAGGTAATTCTGACTGATGTCTATGGCATGTCAAAGGTTTCCACTAGATTGGTCCCCAGACAGTTGACTGACGACCAGAAACGGACCAGACTTGACATTTCAAGATATCTTTTGTCTCGCTACCAGGATGAACCTGATTTTATCTACGGGATCGTAACTCAGGATGAACATGGGTCCATCACTTCGATCCAGTATAAAAAAAACCATAACATGTAGTGGAAGCACTATGGCTTACCCCTCTGAAGAAATTCAAGAAGATGCCATCAACAGGGAAGATGATGGCTTCAATATTTTTTAGATAATCTGGGGATAATCATGATTGATTATCTTGAGCAAGGTCGTACCATAAACAGTACGTACTATGCAGACGAGTTGAGAAATTGCGGAAAACTGATTCAAGGCGTTCTGCTCCTACACGACAATGCGCCAGCTCACACATCACAAGTTGCGATGGCTGCTGTAACTGACTGCGGCTTTGAAATCCATCCCCAATATTCTCCGGACTTGGCATTCTCTGACTTCTACCTGTTTCCAAAACTAGAAACCAAGCTTTGGAAGCAATGAAGGTGTCATGAAGGCGGTTATTGAGTTCTTTGAGCTACAAAATAGAGGGTTCTATTTTGAAGGGTTAAACAAGTTTGAGCACAGGTGGGCAAATTGCATTGATGTAGAGGGCGATTATTTTGAAAGCAAGACCATTAGTTGGGTTCTCTGACTACCGGAAGTACATCGGGCCAATAACGTTTTGATCAATCCTCGTATACTCTTGTACAAAATGTAACTTTATAAGTTTAATACATGTATGTTCTGATAATTGTTTTTGTCTGTGTTAACTATATGATTATTACATTTACCATAGCACATGATTATTGAGTGTCCTAAAACCCGCGGTTAATGATTTCCTTGTGGTTTACCGGCCGTGCATAGAACGAGAATACCTATATCCAACAACACTTTAAGGTTTAAGACAGCCATTATGTACTCCATCATCTGTATAACAAAACTTGTCATGTTATCATAAACGTTAAAGTAAAACAAACAGTTGGTTCGAATCTAGGAGTGTGAAATGCCAACGTACTTAAATATGGATGGATGTTTCTTTTTTTCTTTTAAATACAATTTACATGCATGCTATTTTTTTAGAACCCCCCCGAGGTGTGCTCGTCGCGGAGTAGGTGCACGGCAGGCAAAACTCAAAACATTCAAAGTACAATTGACGAACTTTCGAAAATAAAAATAAAAATAAATTTATACTGTTTATATATTCAGTGCTGTATTTCAGGTTAAACATTCTGTATCTCATCTATTTTACACATACATTTTAATTGTGTTTTTTCCTACATTCTCTGCTACTGAATATCTGAATATTCCGTTATCAGTTTGATATGATTGTATAAAAGTGACTGCTTATACAGATAAATAATTCATATTCCTATTATTTGTTACAAATGTTTCTATGCATTTGTCAGTAAATAAGCAATCAATTATATTAATCTCTGTCAATCGTATTAAGTAAAAGATCATACTTTGATTAAATAATTTATTGTAAATAAATGGCCGATGAATAAAAGAACATTTCAGATTGCTTAAGTTTATTTTGATTATCTTTACATGACATATATAAAACAAAAAGAGCAATACAATAAAACTTTTCAGGATCTTAAATAAGTTGTTATATAAAACAAGTCTCAGACAAGCTTTAAAATTAAAATATTATATTGAACCTGTTTAAAGAAGTAAACCGGCTCTTGGTAATATAAATAAATACTTATTTGCCTATAGTACATGGAAAACAATGTCATGTGATAAAAAAAATATTTTTTGGTCTGTCTTAGATAAATTAAAGACAATAAATGTGTATGTTAAATTGAATTTTCTTTAATTTAATTTCCTCATCACTTGATTAGTAGTTCAGTGAATAAAAAATAAATTTAAGCAATTATTGTATTAACAGTACCACCTATTCATTTATCAATCAAAATACCATTAAACTTTATGATAAGAAATTTTATTTAATCAAAAGAATCAAAATTATTTGGCATATATAAATCATGAAGTAAAACAATCTCACTTTTGGGGCGAAACGACTTGGTGTGAACCGTCTTGGGGGTGAATCGTCTTTTAACAAGAAAGAACTAATCTGTTCATAATCCTAATATGACTTTGAAATATCTGCGGCAGTGAGTTTGGCTCCAGAATATGGTCTTTTATCAAAATAACAAATCGCAGGTCCGAAAAACGACAATGCCATGCAGTATTCTCCCATTATTTTTGTTTTGATAAGGTCTTTGAGATTTATAATGCTGTAACGGAGAGACAACAAACTAATACAAAAACAGATTCACATCGGAATCAGACAAATGATGTTTTCACGGTTGCAATGGATCGAGAATATGGTGTTTTTGTTCCCACGAAATTCCACATTTTATATACAACAAGAACAAATCGACGGTGACGGTCGGGAAAAAAACATGCTACGCCGGAAGTCTCTCGTGCTTTTTGTTTGGATAAGAGCTTTAGTGCTTGAATTGTTGTTGAGAGGACTCAACAAACTAACACAAAAACGAATCCGCATCCGCATCAGACAAATGGTGTTGTCACGGTTGACTCGCGAATGTTATTGTTTCACGTGCTTAAGTGTCATCAAAGTCAAAATTTAAGCCGATTTGTACTTTATTGGAACATATGTATTTTGTACAAGTACCTTTTCCCGGTATGACTCTCCGTCATTTGAATCTATATGAAATTTATAATATATCCATTACGGCCTCTTCTGCACACATTTTCTTACGTCTGCCCTTGATTATTACGTTTACCATTATTTGCATAAAAGTAGCATTTTATTATTTATTTTTATCCATTGGTATCAACCAATGTATTATTGGAAAATAACAGAATATTATAAAAAAATAATATTATGAGTTGATAACATTCAACTTGATCGATAGTTAATTATAACCATGAAACAGCTGTTTAAAAGTTTACTATTTTTATATTCATGTATGTAGAAAGCAAGCGTGATTTGTTTTCAAAGAAAAAGGAAATTATCAATATGTCATTGGTTATTAATCGGATGAAAAACAGGTACTGTGTCATTTTATCTTTTACATTTCTGAATTTATAATTGTTTCACTTTAAATATCACAATTTAATTACTTGCTGTCATAAGATATTTGAGTAAAATCTGATTTAACCTTTTATTAGCTTCTTCGCTGTCTAGAAGATGAGCATTCCCGCCACATTCACAGAATTGTTGGTTTACAAAACGGGTATATTCGTCTTACGGTTACGGATACAATATCTTATTTTTGATTGATTGATTTTTTGCGGGAAGGTGGAATTAGACCATAGTTTTAAAACAAAATCATTTTCATGTTTTTATCATGATATTATTATCTAAAATATTCGGATAAAAGTGAAGAATATGCTCTTTCTTATCTAGAACATGCGTATACTCGTATAAATACAGCACACATCCACAGATATTAAATAGTGGTACTCTTGATTATGGGACTAGAAAAGCCTGAAAAATCCTCGCCCTGCGAATATAGTAAGATTGTTTAATCATCTCTAATAATCTCATACCAAGAGTTAGGATATATTCGCTGAAAACATAACCACCACATTCTTCTGAGTAAAGAGAAACACGGCTTATCATCTATCTCCTTCCCCCTGATTTCAATCTTTCTAGGGTGGGTACCATAGTAAAGATATCATTATGCTTATTTTGGAACGACCCTGTGTTTCCTGTGACTGGTGACATTTTTTAAAACGTGTTTGTGATATTATGGGTTTTAACATCACACAAGTGGCCGACTCTTTAATGTGCATACTATTGAGCAAAGGACCTTTTGCAGCATTCACCTGGTATATTTAAGTGGTTTGGACTCGTGGCCGCCTCCCATTTATACTCAAACAGATTAATATCTCGCCGTGTATTTAGTTAGTTAAGTTGAGCTAGTTGTTGAAATCTTCTGCTTCATCTAAATATTATCGTGATTTACAATCGGTTGCTTTGTTTGTAAGTTACCTGTTTATTTCACAAGATAACAAGCAATTATCATAGTATTGCAAGCAATCCATAAGTCCCCTACCGGTTAGAACCCCAGCAACATTCTGATGGGCCATTGGCCATTCAATTTTACCAGTAAATGAATGACATGAATGAACTTAAATCTTTTGAGTTCTAAGTTTGTCTATATCACAGTGACAGTAATGTGTTAAGTTTCCCTGCCTAGTAAGGAAATTATGTTTATACAACCTTGTCATATTATTACGATGTGGGATTTTAAAGTAATCCTATAAGGAATGAAGAAGTTGGAGTAAAAAATACCAATTTCTCGAAAAAAAATCTAAGTTCAAGGGAGACATAATTCTGGAAATAGTCTTGCTAGAGTATTAAACCTTCTCAAAAATGTTGAGTGATAATAAGAAACATATATATGAATTTGAAGTAGATACATTAGGAAATAAAGAAGTTATTTAAAAAAGACAACATTTTTTTTTCATAAAAATTCTAAGTTCAAGGGAGGTAATACTGATAATTTTTGTGCTAGAGTTGTAAACCTTGTCACATATGATGTTGTTGATGACCAGAAACTTATATTTAAAGTTTGAAGTAACACCTTAAGAAATAAGGAAATTATAGTGAAAAAGCTGAAAAATTTAAATCAGAAATCTTGAAATTCAGGCTATTTGTTGCCATAGCAACCAGAATTTTCAACATAGGAAGAAAAGAAAAAGATGTGCATAATCTCCAGACTGCCATCTACCCATATTTCAAGTTTCATAAAAATATTTTCAGTTCTTTTTGAGTTATCAATGGATCCAGTATATGTGTTAAATTTGCAATATTTTCAGACTATTTGTTGCCATAACAACCAGAATTTTCAACATAGGAACAAAACAAAAGACGTGCATAATCTCCATACTGCCATCTATCCATATATCAAGTTTCATAAAAATATTTTTAGTCCTTTTTGCGTTATCGCAGGATCCAGTTTTGTGGACGGACGGACTGACAGACAGACGAACGGACGGACGGACAGACAGACAGACGGACAGACGGACGGAGGGAAAACCTAAAGTTCCCTCCGGTTAAACCGGTAGGGGACTAATTAAGGACTACTGTCAATTCAACAGAGACAATTTTAATTCAGTTTATTCTTTTTACTTTCTTTAGATGTACTTGTGCTTAAATAAATGCATCACCGCAAACAATAAATAGAATCATTTCAGTACAATATTATGTGATAACATGGTAGACCTCATACATGGTTAACCAATTAAGCAGTAAAATGTGTTGAGGAATTGAATTACAGTAATAACAACATATTTATGATAACACCAAAACAAAACTTAATCCCTTATTTCAATTGTGGTCCTTACATTGGGTATTGATATTATTGACATAAATGCATGAAATTTAATGTCAGAAAGTACACATAGAAATATATATATATAAAAGATGAAAAGCATTTAAAAAGAGGTAAAGATGTAATAATATAATTAGAAAATGGCTTTAACTGACAATTTAGAACTAAACAACGCTCTTTTATTCCTTATAGATGTGGGTTTGTTCGAAGCAAATATACCGATATGCAAATAATTGTGCGCCACAGCCTATTGTGCTAGGTAAATTAGAGCACCTTCTTTGACATGGCCAATATGAATCGATAGAGTCCATGGGAACAAAAATTTGCATTTCAAATTCATGTTCAGTATATTCCCTGCTGTTTGCGGCCTATTAAAAACTGATTTTTCATTCAATTACATTAAATACATAGTAATAATATGTAAAGCCTCAAAACGAGCTCGATTTACTTATACCGTGAAATAGTATATAATAATCGTTCATTTTTATTTTACATTTTCAGTTTTAAAAGTGCCATTCCGTATTTTATGCACTAATTCCGTTTATTCTGGTTCCCTGTTCTATTATGTTTCCTTTAAAAGAGCGCAGGGCACCAGTCTACGCGTCCGTTTTCAATTAGAATTCCTCAGCTTTTATCGTTATCTTGTAATTCGTAAAGTTGCGATGTGTTAATTCAGTCTTCCGACGAAAGTTTTCAAAACCATCACTATCTTACAGGTACTCACGTTACTTAAAAACTCGCTTTGCGGGCAGGCCTTTCGGACCAGCTTTTCGAGCTCGCTATTATGTTATTTTGGTTTTGGAGTGATATATGTTGATATATTTCCTGCTAAGATTTTATATCCTAACCAGCTAACGGATCGGATGATATTTTATCTAAGCAGGTAATATATCCACATCTATCACTCCAAAACCCAAATAATAATTTTATTACCCTCCCTTGCCAGGTAAGACGATTGCTGTCTCAAATGAAACGTCGAAATAAGATTACCTTTAGGGTACCCCTTCACCGCATAATGACGTCACCGTGAAGTATTTGCTTTCGTATCCTACGAATGCAAACAAGAGAAAAGAAAAAGTCTGTTTAATACATTTTTTTCTTTATTAGTATCAAGCTTTGACGAGGTCAAATTTGTTTTAAATACTGATGAGAATATTTATCACTATTTTGGTTAAGTAATAGAAAGAGCATCGAAACACGAGACTATATGATTTGTACGAGGGGGCGTAGTCCCCGAGTATAAATCAGATTGTCGAGAGTTTTGATGTTATTTCTCTTTTGTATCATAGTCAAAAATAAAAACACGTTCCCTGATGTCACAATATGAAACCCCAGAAAAAAGGAACCAATGAACGAGCATCTGAATATGATATTTTTATCGCTTTCCCTTTCCCCGTCGTCACAATATGTAAACCCCAGACAAAATGAATCAATCTATGGGCATGCTCTGTACAGTGCGGGTAACTAATACCTGCACTCCAGTTTACACATTATGCATGTATATGTATACGATTTAAATCTGACACATTTTCAACAGAAAGGTCCCCATACGATGATACTATATTTTTTATGTGACAGTTACGTCTTGGTTATCAGAACTGACACTGCGCAACATCGAACAGTACGCGCTTCGTCACACAACGCGGGTACTGAAAGGGGAATGTGTATATTACCTGTCTGGCTCGGTTATATCAATTTCTTTCGGTGGATCAATATCGGCGGATCAATATCCAATCAAAAAGTGGAAGGGTAATAAACATGTTTATCAAGAAATGAGACATGAGTTATATGCTATAAATGTGTGTTTCTATGAAGACATGAAGATTTTCAAAGCGTATGCATGTACATTACACATCGTATGAATTATCATTTTTTTCTTTCCAGAGTTTGCATGCAAATTACAGTTGTTGTGGTATTCACAGTCAGTGTAATTCATGTTATTACATTTCTGCCACTATCAAAGGAACTAGCGGAGAACGATGATTCGAAAGGGAAAATTACACATATTGGATTTTTAAGAGTTCACAAATGTGGCTCTGCAACAATGTCAAATATAATTTTCCGGTTTGGACTACATAACAATTTAACATTTGCGATTCCAAAAACGGGTGGATATATCACAAACACAGACTCTTTACTTCCTGTGCGTCCTACTGGTCATTATGATATTTTGATCGGCCATTCCATATATAGCCGTAAGTTATATCAGTATTCATTTGGAACAGATTCGGTAAATATTGCATTTGTTCGCGATCCTGTTCAAAGAATGATAAGTGCTGCATATTTTTACAGGGATGTTTGGCCACAAGCATATCTTCTACGTGTTCCAAAAAGTAACTTCATTGAAAATCTTGTCCGATTACCTCATGTTTATGACAGAGCTCCATTTAGTTACACAAGAAATGCCATGGGGAGGGACTTTGGATTTTCTTCATCTATATCTATCAATGATACAGATAAAATAAACCAACATCTTGATATGCTGAAAAAAGACTTCAAACTTGTTCTTGTTCAGGAAAGGTTCGATGAATCGCTTGTCTTGATGAAAAGAACTTTAAACTGGGACATTGAAGATATACTTTATGTAAAGATAAATGCAAACAAGCACAAAGTAGAATCGCTCAGTTCAGATCTTATAAAGAAATTACAAGAAACGTGTTTCTTAGATGTTATATTGTATGAAACATTTTCTAAAATATTTGATGAAAAAGTTAAAGATGAGGGTCCGGAATTTTACCGTGAAGTAGAATGGTTTCAAAACGTGCTTCAATCAGTGAGCGAGTTTTGCAATGCAGAGCAAGTTCGTAACATTGTGAAAATAGACAAATCGGAATGGAACGAGCCATTTCACATCACTCAGGAGAACTGCTCGGACATGAAAATGGGAGCCCTCACATACCTTCCAATGCTTAGAAACCGTCACAAAAAGATGAACAATTGAAATTATGTAGATTAATAGCATTGCAGTTGACATTATGGTTTTAATTACAACTTTAAAACGTCTGTCCGTTTCCTATAAGATAACAATTTATCCGTTTTATCATGAACGATTGAAAAAAATATGATTATACACGTGTATAAACATTGAATATATATCTGATTATTGTAAAGTCTGTAACTTAGATTTATGAATATTATTCTTAAACTCCTTAGCAATTAATATTGAAGTGTACTTGGTTCATTTTTCAATACACTATTTTTTGGCTAGATACTATTGCCAATATTTTGATCTGATTCTTTCTTTTGGACCTTTGTCTTTGTCTTATCACCAGTTGGCGCATTTCAGTTTTCTTGTGTCTACAGCTTAGATATTTGGAATGTAGCATTGCACAGTTTACATACTTCACTTCAGTGTTTTTATATTTTCTGGTCCTTCGGGATCCTTGATTCCACCACATATAGTCGTTGAATATTGAGCTTAGGCCGGTGCTAGGGGGCATAAAGGGAAGATGCACTGTTACATTTTCCCTGATGTGCAGACTCAAACAAACCATAACTGTTAACACTTTTTTCCCATATCTTTCTACAACCCCCATATATTGCGCACTTGTGGTAAAAAAAGGCCTTGACCCGGGTTTCACTGACATAGACTTACATATATAGTAAATATCCCTTGGCAACTTTTTCTCTGTATCTACAGATCAAAAACATTTGGGATATAGCATCACCTTGTTGTCCGCTACAAAGCCCTAGGACCAAATGTGACCCCACCAAATGGAGTTCGCTTACTTAGTTTCTATAGACTTGTTTTTAAAGGGACTCCACTGAGGTTTAAAAGCCTAAAGCATAACATTTAAATTTTTCTTACATAAATGAGCTGGGGCACTTTAAAAAGAAATATATGCAAAGATAGTTAAGAAATATACTTAGAAATAAATTGAAAATCGTATTTTTATGTTTGTCTTAGCCCGAGTTGAGTGAAACGCTTTTCATTTTGGGTCATTTCTTTACAATTTGAATAATTATTCTGGAAAAACGAAGTGCGCGAATGATCTGAAATGTTGCACAAAGATTAGTGGTCTTAACCTACATCAAATGGTACATTTATCTGAAAAAAATATTTTGAGACACATCATGTCAAAAAAAACTCAGTGGAGTCCCTTTAAGGTAAACACATTTTGTGGAAACTAAAAATGCACTATGCCCAGAGCTTAGATACTTGACATGCATCACTTCATTGGGCACCTTTATCTATTTCATGAATAAGAAAACAAACTTGCGTCAAAAATAAGGCGTCCAATGTGATCTTATTACTTAATGGTGATTAAAAAGCAATTGATCTATGGTAAGTGATGTATACCACCATAGCCCCTTGATTATAATTTAGTTTGTAAATGAGTTTTATAAATATTTGAATATATCTAGGGTCCAATAAATGCTCTGAATGCATAGTTTATATGCATTAGTTTTGAGAATCAATTTGGACCATGCAGGTCTATGGTAAACTTAATAGAATTGGCCGTATTTAGATAAAAACTTGTTTATTCATGTATGTGTTCCAACATCCAATACTTGTTTGAAACATTCAAAAGTAAGGCGTAGGGGAACTTTGTGCATTCAGTTCATGCAATAGAACTAGATGTCCTGTACCGTCATCTTGTTCGAGTATAGACATAAAAAGACATTCCCTTAATTTAGTACAAGGTGATTAAGGAATCATGCATAAGTTTACAAGTCGAGGGGTTAGAGTCGATGACTTCTAATCCAGTTACCTCTCTGGAGTGGGTTCGATCCCGGGAGATGCTTTGGTAGTTTAGCGCGGAGGAAGGTAGTCTAGCACTGGTGTAACTCTCCAGGAACGATGATTAGGAAACTACCCGCCTATATGACTGAAATACTGTTGGAAAAAGGCGTAAAATGAAACAAACAAACAAAACAAGAGGGTCATGATGGCCCTGAGTCGCTCACCAGAAACAACTGCTTTTCAGTGTTGGAATGTCAATAATTTCTAATATTAAATTTAAGCATAGAATATGTTTAAACAATAATTTGAAGAAACGCCATGACCTGGGGAATTTAAGCTTTAGCTTAAACGGGGCTAATCAAATTAATATGAGCAAACTTGATAAAAAAAACTACCTAAGAATGCTATAAAGTTTGGTGATCATCTATCAATTATTTCAGTAGAAAATGATGTTCGAAGATTTTTTTCTATTTTTAGCTTTAGTGGCCCCTAAAAGGGGCTAATCAAATTAATATAAGCAAACTTGATAAAAGAGTACCCAAGAATGCTACAGACAAAGTTTGGTGATCATCTATCAATTGGTTTTAAAGTAAAAGATGTTTAAATGTTTTTCTATTTCAAGCTTGAGTGGCCCCGAAAAGGAGTCAATCAAATTTATGTGAGCAAACTTGATAAAAGATTACCCAAAAATGCTACAGACAAAGTTCGGTGATCATCCATCATTTAGTTCTCTAGAAATAGACATTTAAAGGTTTTTCTATTTTTAGCTTAAGCGGCCCCTAAAAGGGGCCAATCAAATTCATATGAGCAAACTTGATAAAAGAGTACCCAAGAATGCTACAGACAAAGTTTGGTAATCATCCATCAATTAGTTCTCTAGAAATAGACATTAAAAGGTATTTCTATTTTTAGCTTTTGCGGCCCCTAAAAGGGGCCAATCAAAATAATATTAGCAAACTTGATAAAAGACTACCCAAGCATGCTACAGACAAAGTTTTGCGATCATCCATCGATTAGATCTCTAGAAATAGACATTTAACGGTATTTCTATTTTTAGCTTTAGCGGCCCCTAAAAGGAGCCAATCAAATTAATATGAGCAAACTTGATAAAACACTACCCGAGAATGCTACAGACAATGTTTGGTGATCATCCATCAATTAGTTCTGTAGAAATATACATTTAAAGGTATTTCTATTTTCAGCTTAAGCGGCCCCTAAAAGGGGCCAATCAAAATAATATTAGCAAACTTGATAACAGACTACCCAAGCATGCTACAGACAAAGTTTGGTGATCATCCATCAATTAGTTCTCTAGAAATAGACATTTAACGGTATTTCTATTTTTAGCTTTAGCGGCCCCTAAAAGGGGCCAATCAAATTAATATGAGCAAACTTGATAAAACACTACCCGAGAATGCTACAGACAAAGTTTGGTGATCATCCATCAATTAGTTCTGTAGAAATAGACATTTAAAGGTATTTCTATTTTTAGCTTAAGCGGCCCCTAAAAGGGGCCAATCAAATTCATATGAGCAAACTTGATAAAAGACTACCCAAGAATGCTACAGACAAAGTTTGGTGATCATCCATCCATTAGTTCTGTAGAAGAAGATGTTTAAAGGTTTTTCTATTTTTAGCCCTAGTGACCCCTAAAAGGGGCCAATCAAAATAATATTAGCAAACTTGATAAAAGACTACCTAAGAATGCTACAGACAAAGTTTGGTGATCATCCATCAATTAGTTCTGTAGAAATAGACATTTAAAGGTATTTCTATTTTTAGCTTAAGCGGCCCCTAAAAGGGGCCAATCAAATTCATATGAGCAAACTTGATAAAAGACTACCCAAGAATGCTACAGACAAAGTTTGGTGATCATCCATCCATTAGTTCTGTAGAAGAAGATGTTTAAAGGTTTTTCTATTTTTAGCCCTAGTGACCCCTAAAAGGGGCCAATCAAATTAATATGAGCAAATTTGATAAAAGACTCCCCGAGAATGCTACAGACAAAGATTGGTGATCATCCATCAATTAGTTCTGTAGAAGAAGATGTTTAAAGGTTTTTCTATTTTTAGCTCTGCTGACCCCTAAAAGGGGCCGATTGGAATGACATGAGCAAATCCAAGTGTGACTGTCACAAGGATGCTACAGACCAAATTTGAAGTAAATCTGCCTTGTAGTTTCAGAGGAGAAGACGATTGTTGACGCATGACGACGGACGCCGGAGCATACCCCTTTGATACTAATAGCTCACCCTGAGCCTTCGGCTCTGGTGAGCTAACAAACATAAGTTTACAAGTCCGTTTATAGCAGTATTACAAGGACACATGATAGCCAGTAATTCTAACGAAGTTGTCGGTGATTCATGATGACAAAGTGAGGATTCTTAAATCATTTTAAAATAGAAAAAAATATCAGCCCATTGCCGAAATCTGAATTATTTGCTACTTTTTTGTCTAAATAAACGTTTTTTTTTATCTTAAAACAAAGTCAAAGTCATCGTCTTAATCATGTTTATTTAGATATCTTATTGCATTGTTTAGTAATTAAGTGCATTACAATTGTAATTTTGGACATTAAAAATATGCATACACAGTGAACAGTAACAATGATAACATTGAACAAAGTATTATTTAAAAAAAAAAAATACATGTAAAACAAGCAAACAAAAATTCAAACAATATTTGGTTGGCATTAATCAACTGTAAAATTTTAATGACTGTTGCACTAGTATTTAAAGTCGATAACATATAGGACAAATAGATATAAAACCAACAAAATTTTAAATATCAATACATGTTTTGCTTTATTGGCCTCGTCAGTTGATACACATCAAAGGAACCGTGCCAAAAGGATGTCTACATTAATAGACGCCACAATTGGCGAGTTAAAAAACGTTATAATGTTAGAATAAAATAAAACGTCTATTACTGTTTTACACAAACAAAACATGTCCATATGTATATAGCTCGAGACGTAATTATTTTAAATAGCATATATAATTTTCGAAAATAATTGCATTAAAATAACTGGATCAAAAGATATACATACATTTTCATAGAGAAACTAAGCTAGTAAATAAATTCAACAAGTCTGAAAATAATTGTTACTTATATGAAAGTTTATAATTTCGAAAAAAAAAATTAATTGTAAAAAGAGAGATAATAATTTAGAAATATCGCTATCATTCAGTATATCTTGTAAAGCTTTTAAAATAAAATGAAAATCATCTATTTATTATCTATTCAAGTTATGGCATTATGATCAAAATAAATCTGTTATTGAAAAAAATCAATAACCATAAGACTACATTATGCATAATATATTATATAATTGTAAATATAAAAAAATAAGTTCCTTGCGAAAGTGAAGGCATCTAGTACTTGTAAACTGCTTGACAGCCTGCACAGGAACGATGCGGTGGCTGGTGAATTCAATGTGGCTTACTGCCGTGAGTGAAAACTACCAACACCACCACATTCGTGAATAAAGGGGATAATTAAATAATTATATCATTGACATAAATAATGTATTTGTAAAGATTAAAATAAATTAATAAACATTTCTAGATACAGTAAATGACTACTAAAATAGAACAGTCTTTTAAGCCGATCTGTACTGAAAAAGATATTAATTGATAAGTTTGTAAAAAGATGCAAGTATAAATATTTGAAATAAGATTTTACGATTTATAATAAATCCTTCGGACAAATTGTTTCTCATTTATGGATCCAATATGCCTCTTTCAAACGTTTTCACATATTACCGTGAACTTTATCAATCGGCATGAAGGAAAAGTCATCAAGTGAATGATCTACGGGGTTGTCATGAATTGCAACATCAGAAGAAAAATTGGAATGACAATTATTTCTTATATCAAATTTATCACTGATCATTCTTTTTGAGACCTGTTGATGAGTCTGGTCGACATATTGTTTTTACATTTTTTACAAGTAATTAAATAAATCACGTCACTAATTGAAATGCATTCCGAATGTTTCTCCCGTATTTGTACTAGTCTTCAATATTTTACAGAGAGTACAAGTACATCTCTTTCTATAACATCTATTAGTTTTACGTTCACATTTCGTTTATTTAGAGTTGAATGGGTGAGGGAATATTGAAGATTTTTAGGACGGTTGTTTTATGATTAAGTAAATTTTTCACGATGTCATTTTCTGACAACTTTAAATGATCCCAGTATTTATTTATTATAAGACCAAGATGGGGAAGAGACGGATTATATGGGGTAACAAACGGTATGACTGTGTGCTGCTCTGTGTTATTTCCGTTTTTTTCCAGGGCTTCTTCTTTGGTTTTCACTTTTGTACAAAGCAAATTTTAGCTTGCTAGTAGGATAATTTCTGTTATTGAAAAAGGATTCTAAATGAATAAGAGATTCATGAAATTCATCATCATCTGTAACGTTTACCTTGGCTCTATGGTATACCTTTTTTACATTCATAAGGGTGGCATGAGTTATACTCAAGCTATTGATGGATATCTGTAGATTCTATATGAGTTTCCGTTGATAATGTCAATTTTCATTTTTAAGAATTTTAACATCCAGAAATGACACATTTATTTTCGATATGTTGTATGTAAATTTAATTGTAGGGTGGCGTGTATTTAATTTGTTTATGGAATCGTGTAAAGCACTTACAGAAAGATCCCATATCATAACTATATCATCTAGAAAGCGGAGCAAAGTCGTAGGTTTAAGATCATAACTGTTTAAAAATCAGATTCCAATTTGCCCATAAATAGCGAGGCGTATGTAGGGGCCATAGAACTACCCATAGCGGTACCTAAAACTTGTAAATAAGTTTCATTATTAAACTGAAAATTATTTTCAGTGTCAATTTAAGAAGAGTGCATATTTATTTCCTCCGTTGATAATTGACTACCACATTTGTCATTATCAAGGAAGTATAGTTACAAGCAGCTATCCCATCTTCATGTGGTATAACTGTATACAGTTAAGTTACATCCTAAGTAACAAGTACTGAATCTTTTTGAAAGATTTGGTAAAAATTTTAATGAACGTAAAAAATCAGAGGTATCTTTCGCATAAGACGGTAATGATTTCATATATGGTTAAAATATAAAGTCAAGGTTTTTGAAATATTATCTGTATATGTTGCATGCAGAAACAATTGGTCTGCCTGGATATTCTACGAGTAGATTTTCATTATAATCTTTATGAATTTTGGGTAAGATATATATTAAATTGGGGCGTTCTTATGTTGTCTGGAAAAATGTCAATTATATTAACAGTATTTATATTACTGTTTATTTCAGATATCTAGTTTATACAGTTTTGAATATTAAGTTTTATTTCCTGTAATGGGTTACTGTCTCATTTCGAGTTATATTTATTGTTATTCAATTGGCGTTCCACTTCTTAAATAAAGTCAATTTGTCCATTATAACTATCATATTGGATTTATCTGCTTTCTTATTAACGATAACAGAAACAATAAGGAAACTCCTCGATGCCTCTAATTTATCGTCCCGCTCTCTATATGTAAGCTATTAAAGCGGACTATTCGTTTCCCGATCTTCTATAACATAAAATTCTAAAAGGCTAATTATAAATTTAAAGTCTCGTTAAAGAATTTAGCAAATCGTATAATTTCCTGCCTAACACTCTTATCTTGAGACACAAAGTTAAGATATCCATGTTCTTCAAAGGACATAAAGCGCGTAGTAACTTTAACACCCGCACGTTTAAGTCGTTCAGCGACGATTAATCCGTCATCTCTTAGCACGTCAAATTCAACATTAAAAATATAAGCGGTTGGAAGGACACTTAGGTCTTCATCGGACGCCATTAACGGTGCATAGAGGGGATCTGTTATAATCTTGATCATTTCTTGTGGTATTTGTACATTTGCATTGTCTTTACCACCCGCAGTTTCTTCTGTTATATCATGATCAATACCCGCAATACTTGTTGGAATAAACGTTTTGTCGATGTAAGATCTGTATACAGAATTCTGCAACTCAGTAGTTAGATGTTTGTTGTTGTAGAAAATATCGTAATTGTCGAGATTTCCAAATGCATACAGAAGCCAATACGAAACCATAGCCTGCTTCGTTAACAAACCTGGTCCATTTTCGTGTTTCTTGTAGCATGGCAGTTTAAAGTCAAACGCCTGTAATGCCGGGTAATCTAAGGACATGAATTTCAAACCAGGTAAGTCTTTTTCTTTGGATAATTTGAGAGCAACCGCCATTGCTAAATTGCCACCTGCACTGTCACCTATAAATGGAAATTGCAGTTACGCACTACAAGTTCTTACTCTACAATACTAGTTAGTTGGCACTATAAACAGACAAATTATACTAATATGGAAATCACTTATGAATTGAAAGTGGTCTCCGCCCTTTTTAAAGGTTAAAAACGTATTTTTGAGATAAATCGTTTCCTATAATTGTCAAATCAAAAGAAATAAGGTGAAAACTCCTCGATACCTCTAATCTACTTTCTTTATGTAAGCTAGTAATCCGGACTATTCGTTTCTTCGATCTTCTACTTTAAAAACATAATAAATAGCTCTCGGAGCGCTTTATTGACGAAGGCTTAACAGTGATATGATGCACTTTTTCAAAATAAAGTTACTGAAATACTAGTTTGAAACAACACAGAAATGTTGTTTTAGCTGAAGGCCGCTTTAAGTAAAAAATAAATAAAAATAAAAAAAAACACGCACATATCCGTATTATAAGCAACTCTTTAAATTACTTGTTATAATATCAGCTGCATAGATATTTCAGACACATATGGGTTATATCCTTATACACAAAAAATAAGAATTTATTATTTTTGTAACAACAAAAAACCCCACAAATTATGCATGTTTTTTCAATCAATTGATGGGACTAATTAATCATTTAATATTATGTCAGAGTACTTCATTTACGGACTCGGAGTCTCTATTGGTACCTTGCTTCAAATGTATTTTCCGTCAGTGCCGTCGGTTCAAACCCAACTAGAGATTTTAAAGTCTTCAGCATTATGGAAGTTTAACAAGTGACCACATAACGAGGTCATGTTTTAAAGCGGGAAGCCTCCACATTCATGCGGATTTTTATGAAATTTAAAAACAAAATATTGTGAGGTGAAAAAAGAAAGTAATTTACCCATTGCAAACGGCATTTACATTTACCAAAAAAAGCGGTCATAATATGCAAATTATACCCCCTTTTGTGTAGTAACGCAGGAGAAATATGGTGATAAAAATACTGCAAAATCAATCATTAATTGCACATAACATGAAAAAAATCAATTAAATCTTGAATCTTTTACTACCTTAAAATCTTAGTACATTTTTCTCAAGTTTGACTCAACTCAAGGCATGCAGTTTTAAACATTTATTGTATTTGTGCTGTATGGTAAATAGTGAAAATTAAATGGTGACTGAATAAATTAAAAAAAAATAGCTGATCCTGAACACACTATTTGTTACAGGTATGTTTTATCAAAAGTACCTTTTATGCCAATAAGGTTTTCATCCACTCCATACTCTTTGGCATGTCTTAAAAAGTATCTGGCTGCAGTTAAACAGTCTTCAAGTGGGATAGGGTAAACATACTCCGGAGCTAATCTGTAACTGTAATGGAAATGCTGATAGTATCAATGGTTGTAAGAATTCATAATATATGGAAACATCATAGGGAATGCAAGTACCTTCCAAAAACCAAAGAACGCAAGTGATTGGAAATTAACATTCTTAAATACCACACGATAAAAGACCACCTGTAGGTGATATTCACAATATGGCACATTGCTCAACTTGTCATCAAAAACGTTTATGTTCGATTTAGTAAAAGTTTAATTTGCATTGCTTAATTACAAGTTTATGAAATGCAATAATGGTGCAATTGTCACTTACTTAACTGAGGCAATAATACTTCCAGTCTCTTCAACAACGGCTTCTGTAAATTTGCCATAAAGTTCTGAAAAAATGACATTCCCAATAACATGATTAATTAATATATTCAATAACGTTTGAAAGATGAAAAAAACATTGACAGTATTTTTTATGTTTATACACAAAACTATTCACAAGTAGATGCTATTTTTTCTAGATTCATTAAGTGTAGTTTTGAAGAAATATGCGTTTACCATTATAAAATAAAATGTAAAAACATTAATTTATAGACGAATTACAAAGAATCATTAAAAAAAAACATTAAATAAAAAAATTAACAAAATGCCTCTGTTTTAATGCTCACACCACGTGATCGATTATGAATGAACAGACCCCTATAAAAAACATGTTATAATCGGCTGCAAGTACATTGGCAACAGTGACCTCACATTTGATGTCTTAAAAACGCTACAAACGGTCAACTTCAAGTATATTTTACAATATTCGATAACGAAAGTGCACCTGCTGTCATGAGAACCCATCCTCCGCCATGAATATGAATTATTCCAGGTCGAAGGCCTTCTGTCTGTCCAGCTGGCTTGAAAATTATCACCTCCACGCCGTCCATTGTTGTCATGTGTCTCTAAACAAACAAGCAATTATGAAAGTATTGCAAGCAATACAAAAGTCCCCTACCGGTTAGAACCCCAGCAACATTCTGAAGGGCCATGGCCATTAAATGCCATTGTGGAAGACATGAATGAACTTAAATGTTTTGAGTTCTTAGTTTGTCTGTGTAATAGTAATTTGTTAAGTTTCTCTGCCTAATAAGGACATTTTGTTTATACAACAGATAATCAAAAGGTCCAATTTTTTCAAGACGAATATGTATAAATAATGTTTCAACTTTTCTCTATTTTAAGCAAATTTGTTAGAAAAGTTCAAAGTTCTTTAAAAGAAGAAAAGTAGAAAAACATAACAATTTTCAAATATATACCAATTATAAGAACAAAGAAGAAAATTTAAAAAACAATATAACTATTTTCAAATAAGTTCAAAATGAAAATAATCATGGAAACCCAGGCGCTAGACTTATAAATCTAACAACATATGATGCAGGTGTTAAGAATGAATAAATATTTAAAATTTGAAGTAAATCCGTGAAAAAAGCAGAACCTTATAAAACAAAACAGAGAAATTCAAAGTTTACGGGGGAAAGAATTTTGGAAATGTGGAAGGAACATTTAAAAACATTGACATATTTTAAGATGTTCGAAGTAAATCCTTTAAAAAAACTAGAAATGTGTCCATAGGACACGGATGCTCCCACACTCCACTGTTTTGTCAATCTTATGACTCTAGGTCAAATATTTTTGGGCTACATGTGCCACAAGTTGGAAACTAAAAATAATTTACTAAGGGCAAGAACTTTACAAATACTGAATAAATCCCCAAGCGAACGCCAAGGTGCATAAGTACACATGCTGACCAACATTCTTGTACACTTTCACGCCAACATGTCAAATACTTTTTGAGCTATGCATGAACAAGTTAAAAACTGCAAATTTATACTAAGTCAAGGGCAATAACTCTACAAAACTAAAAAAACACAGGTGCATAGCTTCACGGTGATGTTGATCATTATTCCTACAAAGTTGGTTGATTCTAACTCAAGCAACAAATAACACAACATAAAAAAAGGTTTTTACAGAGTCAAGGGCAATAACTCTAAATACTGAATAAATCCACAAGCGAACCACAATGTGCACAACTACACATGCTGATCAACATTCCTGTAATTTCATGACTCTAGGTCAAATACTTTTTGAGCTACGTACGACACAAAATGAGAACGGACGGACGGACTCACAAGGGTAAATCTAAATCCCCCCTAAAGTGGGGGCACAAAAAAATAGATTCTACAATTAAATCTAAGTTCAAGGGGGGACATAATTCTTGAAATAGTCAAGCTAGAGTATTGAATCCTCTCAAACATGAGTGGGGTGATAATAAGGAATACATGCTTGAAATGAAGTAGATACCTTCAAAATATAGTAGTTATAGAAAACAAACAACATTTTTTTCATGAAAATTCTAAGTCCAAAAATATAGGTGCTAGAATTATAAACCTTGCCACATATGGCGTGGTTGATGAAAAGAAACATATATTAAAAGTTCGAAGTGGATACATTAAGAAATAAAGAAGTTATAAAAAAACACCTTTTTCATGAAAATTCTAAGTTCATGGGCAGGAGGTACAAGTCAGATAGCCTCGTGTTTCGATGCTCTTTTTATTACATAGACCCTCTCTCGAATTTTAGCGGATCGAGTCAGACAATAAATACACAGAATGAAAAGTCCGGGCCCAAAAATACTAAAATAATATTCAGACTGACTCAGAAACTAAATATATAGGCCTAAAGTCAAGTATTTGCTACATTTACTCAATATTCAAATAAGCAAAGATATTCACAGGATATTCTAAACTAGCAACTTGCGTGTTGAGCAATGCCATTGTTGGCTAGGTAAACTTTTTTCAGAACTGTATGCTATTGTAATTTTTCAAAACAGTTTACCTCAACTTTAGGTGATTTTACATCCATTGCTTTCATGGCATTCATCATTGCTCTGGTAGTATTCAGAGGTGAAAATCCAAGGTATCCACTCATAGCACTCTGATAAAAGATAACACATATTTTTAAATGAACATCATGTTAACTAGCGAATGAAATGTTAAAAGGGACATGTAATGACGGTGATGTAATATTAAAGCAATTTGACAGTGCGTAAGAATATAATAAAGTATATTAAAACATTTACATTTTCATATTGAATAAACACGGCATAAAAACGACAACTCAGAAGTTGGCACATCAGTCTGTAACCACGACAGTCATACTAAATAAAAATTTGGTTCGGAATCTTTCAAGTTACATTATTTTGTTACTATGGGAACTACATAGTATTAACTATGCAAGAGGGCCATGATGGCCCTGAGGTCGCTCACCTGTATATAGGCCCCCGGAGCGGGGCCAGTTTGAACCCAGGGCTTTTATTTGAACAAACTTGGAAGACACCCATAAGAAGATGTTTCATGATGTTAACTTTTTACTACACACATATAATGAAAAACAATGATCTCCTCTCCCCCTCCCTCCCCCCCCCTAACAAACTTGGTGGACACCCATAAGAAGATGTTTCATGCTAAACATCTAAGCTCTAGCTCATTGGGTTTTTTAAAAGAACATTTTTTAAGTTTTTACTATACACATATAGTTAAAAACAATGACAGCCTGGGGCAGGGCCAGTTTTGACCCAAGGGCTTTTATTTGAACAAACTTTGAAGACACTTACTAGAAGATGTTTCATGCTTAATATCTAAACTCTAGTTATTTTGTTTTTTTTCAAAGAAGATTTTTAAGTTTTTGCAATACACATATAAGGAAAATCAATGACCCCCCGGGGCGGGGCCAATTTTGACCCCAGGGCTTTTATTTGAACAAACTTGGTAGATACCCATTAGAACATGTTTCATGCTAAATATCTCAGCTCTAGCTCTTTGAGTTCTTTAAAGAAGATTTTTTAAGTTTTTACTATTTGCATATAGGGAAAATCAATGACCCCCTGGGGCGGGGCCAAATTTGACCCAAGGGCTTTTATTTGAACAAACTTGGTAGACTCTCATTAGAATATGTTTCATGCTAAATATCTTAGCTCTAGCTCTTTGGGTTCTTTAAAAGAAGATTTTTTAAGTTTTTACTATATGCAGATAGGGAAAATCAATGACCCCCTGGGGCGGAGCCAATTTTGACCCCAGGGCTTTTATTTGAACAAACTTTGTAGATACTCATTAGAAGATGTTTCATGCTAAATATCTAAGCTCTAGCTCTTAGGGTTTTTTAAAAGAAGATATTTAAAGTTTTTTCTTTCGGTTGCCATGGCAACCAGAGTTCTGCATGGAATTAAATTCTTTGAACAATTTTTAAAGGTGACCACCAAAGGAACATTCCTGTGAAGTTTGGATGAAATTGGCTTAGTGGTTTATGAGGAGATGTCATTTAAAGTAAAAGTTTACGGACGGACGGAGGGACGGACGCCGGACGAAAAGCGATCACAAAGGCTCACCCTGTCACTTTGTGACAGGTGAGCTAAAAACTGTGTAATTGTATCAGATGCATACTCTTGTACAAAAATGTTACTTTATAAAGTTTAAATTTAAAGTATGTTCTGATAATTGCTGTCTGTGTTAACTATATAATTGTTACACTTACCATAGCACCAATGAACTTGAAGGTAAAATTAACGATAGTCTTCAACCCGCGGTTACTGACTTCTTTTGGGTACACTGGTCGAGCATAAAATGCGGCAAAGCCAACGAGGACTCCTATAACCAACAACACTTTAAGACTGAAGACAGCCATAATGTACTCCAACATCTGTATAACAAACAGGATCATGTTATCAATAATCTAAAAGTAAAACAAATAGATGGTTCGAATCTGTGATTTGAGATGGATGGTTTTTAAATTTAAATACAATTTACATGCATGCTTTTTAATTAAGAACCAATAGTTACTTCTCCAGATCCCTCCCGAGACGTGCTCGTCGCCGAAAAGGTACAATGGATGATTGGCTGACATGTCATGACTTACTCAGGAGGGATCCAAGCCGACTGGACATATGGATTTGTTTTGGCGCCAGGTATAAACGATAGTTTTTACATTAGGGACAGAACAACCGCTGTATCATATAATAAAGAACCCTGCAGAGGATTCCTACCGGTGGCAACAAAAAATAAACCTATAAAATATCGAATACGAAATTTGATCATCGTCTTCCCTACACAGACATAATTGTATATCTCAAGATTGAACAGATAAACGGTATCTGCATGTCGTAAATAAAATCATGCATTTGCTTTTTGAGTTACCAACCGGCATTAGCAAAGTAAATGCTGTGTAAGGCAAATTTACTTGATATTAACTTTGCTATATAAAGTAACATCTTCAGCTAAGACCTAAATCACAAGAAGATATATTTACAGATCTAGGCTATGAGGAGATATACATTCATAAACTTTCTCAAGTACTACCTATATTATCATTCAATAATGTTAGATCTTGCGTTAAAATGATTGTTAAAGGGTCGTTACTTAATTAATATATAACATTGAGATCTCCTATGATAAAACACCTAAGCATGCAAAAAAATCCCGTTAACTTCCAATTTAGAAAGTTTTAAAGAAAAATCTTACCTAAGTGATCCAATAAAGTAGCCAGTTTGGCCATACACTGAAGTACAAAGTTTACATTGTGACTGTGAATATGTTTGAACAAGCACGCTTATCTGTAACTTTCAAATGATATAAATTTGTGTCAAGTTGTCAGTTGTTGTAGTGAGTTTTTGCACAAAACCGTGTGTGTACAACTATATGTTTCCATTTAAATGCAGCACTGTGATTATAATCCAAAAAAAAGTAAAAAAAGTAAACTTGGTATAACATTTTATTTTCACGACAGTCTGTGATGTTTATTGTGATCAAGTATATTTTTCTTTTATGTACATGCAATAAATTAACAAAACTTAAGGATAACTGGTGCGTCTTTTAAATTGCAATAATAATAAAAATAACTTAACTTATTACTTAAGGTGATTAATACCACAACCAGCAACCATGTCTTTTTGAAAAATAAGCACTTGGTCTACATTGTAAAGCAAGAGTTTACCTCAACCTATAATTTATGAAGTTTTACAAAGGGATTATTTCAAGTAATTGCAATCCCAACCAGGGCCTTCATATAAGCTTGCTTTTGTAATATCTCATTCCCAACTGAAAACCATTTTTCTATTTTAACTAACAGTGACCCTTCACACCAGGGGGTCCAAATGCAATCCCAACTGGGGTTTCCACATAAGGTTGCTAATATACCAAGTTTGATTACAAGTACATGGTATATAACCATATACAAGAACTCATTCCTAACTCTAGTTATCGTCCGAAACCCATGAAAGAGACCGACCAACCAACCGACCGACAAGCTGACACATGTAGACATCCCTAAACTTCGTTTGTGAATGTATAATTATAATTGTTTTTATTATTATTAGTAATAGAAAGAGCATCGAAACACGAGGCTATCTGATTTGTACGAGGGGGCGTAGCACCCGAGTATAAATCTGATTGGCGAGTGTTTTGATGTTCTTTCTCTTTAGTATCATTGTTAAAAATAAAAACACGTCCCTGATTCACAATATGAAACCTTAGAAAAAAAGTAACCAATGAACGAGCATCTGAATATGATATTTCTATCGCTATCCCTTTCTCTGTCGTCACAATATGTAAACCCCAGACAAAATGAACCTATCAATGGGCATTCTCTGGAGTGCGGGTAACTAGTTAACGCACTGTGCATGTATATGTATACGATTTAACTCTGACACATTTTCAACAGAAAGGTCCCAAACTATGATAAAACTATTAATATTACACTTCCATTCGACACAATACCACTGTGTAGAAAACCATTTGCATCCTGTGATACTAACATGACTACTAAGTGAATTATTAAGTTTATAAGCATTTTATTGCATAGACTTTAATTGCTGCAGTAATTAAATGATACAGTGGATTTGTTTCTGTACTGTAAATACGATGGAATACGTTTTAATGCGATAAAATAATATGACTTTTTGTTGCAATCTTCCTGTCAAGCACACGGTCATGAGATAACAGAACATAATTTTATTTTGGTTTTGTACATCGATCATCACTACAATATAAATACACAAACCATAGGTATACTAGTAACAATCATTTATCAATTCCTCTATCTTACATATTTAAAATATCATAGTATTCATATTCCAACACATCTGCTTATCAAAATGACCAACCATCTGATTGTCTCAGGCGATCCTCACTTTGGCGGGAAACATCAAAGAACTGACTTGACAAAGGGACAGGATTATATACAAATGTAGATAATAAAGTAAAATAATGTCGACAGAGTGGTCCTTCCTGGGAAATACAATAACTTGGTTACATATGTCCGCCCCGTTTAAAACGACATTATATATATTGTGAATATAACAAACACAATATGCTAAATTCAGGGGCGTAACTAAGCGTACTCCTGTACGCCCGTGCGTACAAATCAATCCTGTATTCTGAAAAAAACACATGCGTTTAAAGTTCTAAAAAAGTGATAAAAACAGACGTGGTAGCGTTGTCGGGGCACATATATTCGTATAGACCTACTGACTCTTTCGACTTTTATAAAAAAAATTCATAACACATACAGTATAAACAAGCAAATTCGTTGAATTTATATCCCCCGCCGAGTACTGGTTATTATTAACACAACAACTGAAGACATAAGGCTTTATTATATATTAATCATGGCATAAACAGTAATATTCTTTGAACTTGATAAATATTCAGGGAAATAACAGAGCCATAACTTCGTGTTAAATAGTAATATCTGGACAAGCCAATGAGATGTATGCATACTACATAACTAATCAAGGGCCAAAATCTGAGTTATAAGTATCTGACCGGAACAAGGCGACTATATGCACATCTCCTCTTAGTATCCCATAAAGTTTCATTGAATGCCAGCCAGTAGTTACAGAGAAGAAGCACGGAAACAATTATTGCTCTGGTTGTATACTGCCTAAGTTATCAAGGGTCATAACTCTAAGTTAAAATGTCTGACCCGAACAAGGCGACAATATGCGCATGTCCTCTTGGTATTGAAGGTTCAAATTAAGTTTCATTGAATTCCAACCAGTAGTTGCAGAGAAGTAGCAAGGAAACAAATATTTTTCTATATGGATACTTCATAACTAATCAAGGGCCATAACTCTGAGTTAAAGTGTCTGACCGGAACAAGCCGAGGATATGCGCATCTCCTCTTGGTATTGAAGGTTCTCATAAAGTTTCGTTGAATTCCAGCCAGTAGTTGCAGAGAAGTAGCGCGGAAACGATTTTTACTCCATATGCATACTACATAACTAATCAAGGGCCATAACTCTGAGTTAAAGGGTCTGACCGGAACAAGCCAACGATATGCGCATCTCCTCTTGATATTGATGATTCCCATAAAGTTTTATTGGATTCCAGCCAGTAGTTGCAGAGAACTACCCCGGAAACGAAATTCGGACGGACGGAAGGACGGACGGACAACGCCAAAACTATATCCCCTCCCGATTCCATCGGCGGGGGATAATTAATATCTTTAAAGTGATCTATATTGCAATATCTTGTACAAATTCAGCGGAGGAAAGTTACGAAAATCTTTAGGTGCCTGGTTCAGGACCCATTCTTGGTTGAAATATTCTCCGAGCATTGGCACCATGCTTCTTATTCGGCGAGCAGGTCGCCCGCAGTAATTTTTCCCCAAACCTTTTACTCTTTATTTCTCGTATCGGCCATTTTCCGTCCTCTTCTGCTTTTTGGTTGGGTGCCCTGCTGGTGTGGCTGTATTGTGTAGGGAGCTGCGTTCTACCAAAGTCGCCTTGGATATTTGATTTTTGTTATTTAAGTAACAAATTGGTGTACTTTCTCAAAGATCGTTGAAAGACATGCAAAGTTTTCATGGCATATTCATCGATTTTTTGCTGCAGAAAATTACCTGGCCGTGCCGAAAAGGCAGAAAAAGACATACAAGTGTACAATTCCATCTCAATGATATGCATTTATTTAAAAGAATCACCAGAGCCTTGTATAAGTTGTTGAGATCGTCAGCAAAACATTGCGTTGAGTCATCAAGCACATTCCATGCGCAGTATATAATTGTATGTAATTGTATAATTGTATGTAAGTGGTATATCTGTTAATGAATTTATTTTATCACAAAATATCTTAAATGGATCCTGTAATATATTCACGTGAGTTCTATATTTAATTCTACATAATCTATGTTATACGCAACGATTTTTGATTAAATTATAGACATTTCTGAAAGGAGATTTTGAAATACCTTCGCGTGTTATATAACGCGGTATTTTTTATATATTGTAATGTAATGAAATATTTAACACGCCAAAACATTCACCGAACTTAGTCACAATGTTCACACTATCATCATTCTTAATATATTGTTACAACAGTAGGTACTTATGAAGGTCCAGAATGAAGGCCTTTCCTGAGAGAGCATTGAACCTCGCATTTAACGCAAGCTTAATTGTAAATAAACCCATTTTTGCCGGAGAGTCTCAGAGTGAGCTGTGGCGCATGTGGTGGGCTAACGTAAACTTGACAATTGCCGTCCAGCGGTCCGCCTTCTCTGAAGGAAGCATGGCTCTGTACCCAAACGTGAGTCATTTTTTTTGACAGTTTAAATTGCCATGTCAGTGTCAACAGCAACAACTGAACTAAAACGTCAGAAGTATGTACAATGGAGACTGAGCGTATGTCTGGTCTAGGTCTCATAAATGTTTCTCGGTCATTCTAGAAAATTATGCTGTTTTCAGATATGAAAAATGGTATAAAATCGATCAACATCAAATAATGATTTAGCAACTTTTTCAATGTAGAATATGTGAGGCAACTTATCACCAAATGCGACAGACTTAAAAATTATTTTGACTCGAAAATATTCATTTGTATTTCAATGTTACGGAACTTTAACTTCTTAACAGGGTCAAATATGGAGGCTTTTACTGTTCTAGATTTCAGTTAATCATTGGTCACACATATAGATCTTATATATGAAATATATATGGCATATTTGACACACAAAAAAAACTATTTTAATGAAAAAAAAAAAAACAACAACAAAAAACAACAGAATAATTTAAGTGAGCAGGTTCAAAACGTTACAGTTTTCTGAATAGATAACAATTGTGAAATGAATAAAAAAAGAAAGAGTGTTGCACTTTTCTCATATTCGGAAATAGAAAAACACTAAAAAAATATTACTGTTATCAATTTTATCAAATTATGTTATTCATGTAGGTCCAGTAACGGAAGTTAAACTGTCAGAAATTTGCCGTCAAACATTTTATATTTTACCTCAAATAACTTGTCTCTAATGTATATGAGGCAATTTCAGTAAACGTTTTACAGCATGATTGTGCACAATATAAAATAACAACAACAGCTGAGAAGAAGCCTTCCCAGAAACAAGGCAATGTTTGTAACAGTGGTATATTTTTCAATGTTAAGGCTTATATATAAGATTTATTTCTATCAAAAGTATCGATTTACCAAATTTATCTATACATATAATAACATATCCGGGACATCAAACAATTGCAAAAGAGCATACATTTCTGAACAACTGTTATAAAGATAGGGTAGTAAATGTGCCGAGTAGACAAGTTTGCATACCAAAGAAACAGACGTCTAGTGTTTGTTTGATTTAAAATTAAAAATGTACTGAATACGGGAGATTTGTTACTATAACATCAGTTTGAAAGTTGCAAAATAACAAATTTTTGCTGCAAAAATCGATCATACATATAAAAAAAAGTTTTATGGTACATGTATATGTAACGTATTGTTCATTTTACATATTTTTAAACTAATAAAAAGAGTTTCAAATCATTAATACCGGTAATA